CTGGGTAACCTATTTAGTATATCGCGGCTTTGGGAGGGTCAAATGTCGTTTTTTCGACCCTCGACGTAATCTTTTGACTGACCTGGTAAGAGGCCCCGCGGCTCAAACCCCATAAAGTCTGATATCCGACCACAAATCTAACTTCTAAAAAGGGTCAAATTAGATTTCAAAAAACAAACTTTTGGATTTGATCCAAATGCACCGCGCCCTAAGTTTCTACAAACTGAGTGTTGAGTATCGAATTCCATTATAGCGCGAAACTGGGTGTAGGAATGGCTGAAAATCTCAGGGCAATTATACGCGCAGTCACAATTAGGCCCGTTTTATCACGGTTGGTCACGAGGTTATCACGAACGGTCACAGTACAGTACATTGCTATCGCGCGTGATCACAGCGCTATCACGCATGGTCACACCTCGCCCCAAAAAGCTATAACGTTTGGTCACTCGTTGAAACGATTGATAGAAAGTTGAAACTACGCAAGTCACTGTAGGGATTCAAGGAAAGTTCTCTGACCCGCGCGTTTTGTCCGTAGTATGACAAAATCACTTCGCGATAGCTCTCGGTAACTCGTTAAAAACATCTGCAATTTCTTGTTACTATTTGATTGCCCACTGTTTGATTGATGCATAATGTTCCTAAGAATATCACTTTTAGACGGGTGAAACTCGAAGGGTAAATTCTGTTCCCAAGACCAAAAAAACTAGAAACCGTTCGGATGGGATTGAATTCGGGATGCATCAACCCTAAACACCTTGTCGCATGGTGTTTAGGGTTGATGCCTCCCGAAGGACGTGCCATCCTATAGGGGTTTATTTTTTATTTTCAGTCCCCTAAATGTCAGGCTGATATCATGCGCGACGCAACAAGAAATAAAAATTGAGATTCCCCAAAATCTCTACAGTTTCTTTGGAGGTTTCAAATTAATTATGATCGTTTCATCGAGTGACCAAACGTGATAGCTTTTAGGGGCGAGGTGTGACCATCCGTGATAGCACTGTGATCACCCGCGATAGAAATCTACTGTACTGTGACTGTTCGTGATACCCCTGTGACCAAACGTGATAAAACGGGCAAAACTGTGACTGCATAATTTCCCAAAATCTCATGCAACTTTCAAGCCTAAGAGATTTCCATAGGCTTGATTTCCGTCGGTGAATTTCCACCCTCGGATCAAAGGTTCCAACCGTCGGATCAAAGGTTCCACGTTGCTCGACGTCGAGTTTTTGCGCACTTTGCACACGCCATAATCAGCGCACTAAATCCAAAGCACTGTAGCCACTTGCTTACAAGCCTGCTCCAGCTCCCATCTTCTGCTCTGTTGGACAAACTTTTGGCCGTTAGTTCCAGCGGTTTGGAATTGGGACCACTCATGAACCCGTGGGAGTGGGGAATTCCCTGGTTGACCTTCGAGTAAGAATCATTACAGTAGCCTTCTCGCCCCACACACACCAGTGGCGTGGCGAGGCGATTCATCATCGTAACGTAAAGCTACACCTAGCCCGCGCCAATTTCACACCCCCCGAAGTGGGTTGCCCGCTTGTCCTATTCACCGACCACGTCTGCACCCTGCCCCAAAACCAGGGACCCTGGCCCAGGTGACGACAAGGGGGTGTGAAAAAGGGGGGTGTGAAAATGGCGCGGGCTACTGACGAAGCAGCAGCCAATTGCCAGTTCCCGGCAGAACTACAGTAACCATATGAATTCTTGTACAGTACATACAGTTTATTTTCCTAAGTCACAGCACCTCTCGATCAACAAGCGGAAAAGGTCTCTAACTTTTCTGTACGTGTATGTAAACGATAGGGTATTTTCGAACCTGTGGCCTTTCCACAGACAGAAATCAACAGTCCCACGTGGTCACCTCAGGACGTGGTGCAGATCGCACCGATCTCACGCAATAGGTGGTCGATTGGATCAGAACGCAATCGATTGGGTGTGATCGCCCCGATCTGACGCAATCATCGATCGCCTTACGCGCCGCGCATTCTGACAGATGTTTTTCTTCGAAACAGAGCGGAACCTCAGAAACGCCTTCCAGGCGAGCTGTACGTCCCTTCCTGCTCAAAGTTGGCGAAACGAAGCGACCGTCTGTTTCGCGCAATTACAGGGTAGCCCCATTACGTCGCAAATTGTGTTGTTTGGTCCAGAGGTTCAGTCTGGAAAGTTGGAATGTCGCGAGATGTTTTGTAGCAGCGAGCATCCACGAAACATGTTTCGGCGGTTACAATTCACGCACAGTCGCCAACTTACCCAATCTATCGATTGCAATCGGTCGCAATCGATTGCATCAGATTAAGGCAATCTATCGCAATCAATAGCGATCTCGATTGCAATCGACAGATTGCCTCCGATTGCCCAAAAGTACCCCCAGGACCTTCACGGAAATTGAGGATTACGTAGATCGAGGCAATCAGCCTCAGATCGCCCCGATCTGCACCACGTCCTCACATCACCGCCAGTTTTCAAACCCTATTTTCAGAATGACAGCTCCATGCCCTCTGAAACTGACCAACAACCGCTAAACCTCCAGTAAGTTTACTGATCGCCAACATCTGCCAGCTTCGAAATGCTTTCTTCCGTGACACCCGACCACCGATCAAAGCCAGAGTGCAACAGAGACGGCAATTGAGGGGGAATGCCTTGCAGCAGCTGGCTGGAAGGCGCCGCGCGGTGCTGTACTTGTGGCACGAGAAGGAGCCAATCGCATTATGAGCCAAGATGTTACACAGTGGATCCACGGTGAAACTTCTTACGAAGAGTGTCAAAAAGAATCTTCAGCCCATCATTGCCCTTCAAAGGGATCCCTTCCCCTTCCCCTGTGCTCTGTCCGCCCCTCACAATCACTGTCTCACGTGGTTGAAGTGGTTAGCAGAGCAAGTCACAAACGAATCACGTCCAACCTAACAGTCGGGCGTTTCCCCCACCGACCAGAGTTTCGTTTCCACTGCAGACTCTATGACAGCACGCGTGGTTCTTTTATAGTACTACTGCCAAGTAGGGTTGAAGCGGGCGTGCTCGGAGCTTAATCTTCAAGAATGAATGGGCCGGGCTGTTGCTACTTGGTGTATAGTATGTCGTAGCACAGGCTGTGCGAAGGAGTCATTCTTTTGCTTCGTTCTCTAAAGTCTGAGAATAATCACGAGTGCTAGCAATACCCTCCGGGCCGTGACACCAAACCCGCCTCAGGCGAGGGCTGTCTGGAGGGCACTTCTGGGTAACCGGGAGGTCGATCCTATGCCCCGCGGAAATGGCTTTGAAGTTGGCCACACCGAGTTGGCGCTTGGCGAATCCACAGCAAGCAATTGACCCTCAGCAAGCAAACCCTCAGGAAGCTACTGACCCTCAGCAAGCAAATGACCCTCAGCAAACAACTGGGCCTCAGCAAGCGGCTGGGCCTCAGCAGGAGTGGGGCAGCTGTGAGCCGCACCAGCGGCAGAAGTTAGGGTGGCGAGGGCTGGAGGAGGTGGTGGCGAAGGTGGTGGCCTCCGATGGGTACAGCTGGCTCAAGTACGGCCAAAAAAAATTGCACCAATCCAGTGCCACCAGGTCAGCCTCGCATTGTCTTCCGTTGACTTTCATTGACTTTAGACTCTGGAGCGCTTCGGTTCCTTAGGTTGAGCATCATTCCAGTCATCCATGCCCATTCTTGTTTGGCTTGAACTGAATCATGCTGACACGCCCTTGTGCTGCTGCGGAAACCAATGTCCTTGCCTCAACAGGTGCTACTACAAGTGCACTCTCTCCAAGGCCGTCCCTCGCTGCCCCGCCAGAAAGACCGTCGACATCAAATGCCCCGACTCTATTCAAGTCACCTACCGATGCCGCCTCCACAACCACCCCGCACCCCCCAGCCGGCGTTGGCCTCATCACCCCAATATCCCCGTTACGAACAGCCCTACCGACCGCTGTATTAACCTTCCAGTTTTACATGGTGCGGTTGCCTCTGCGGCGGTACCTGACGCCATTCGCCTTGGTACTTCTTGTGGCGACCTGGAGGCCCTTGTGCGATCCTTGCAGCATGAGAACGTGGGAGCGATTGCTGATGGCAGTGGTTTCAATGCTGGGTGTGCTACTGTTGCTTCTGATGGTGGTGCTTGTGGTGCTTCTGTTCGTGCTGGTGCTGGTGCTGGTGCTGGTGCTGGTGCTGGTGCTGGTGCTGGTGCTGGTGCTGGTGCTGGTGCTGGTGCTGGTGCTGGTGCTGGTGCTGGTGCTGGTGCTCCTGCTGCTACTGTTCATGGTGGTGAGGGTGCTGCTGATGCTGCCGCTGCTGATTGTGCTGCTTCTGCTGCCGCTGCCGCTGCTGCTGTTCGTGTTGGTATTGGTGATGGTGGTGGTGGAGGAGGTGCTTTCTCTCGTGCTGGTGCCTCAGCTGCTGGATTTGCTGCTGCTTCTGCAGATGGTGTTTCTTCTGCTGATGCACATTGGGCTGCAGCCCCCCTCTTGCACTCTCACGGTCAGGAGGAGCAGTCAAGCGCACATGAATGGCTTCGTACTTGGAGCCTTCCGTCCGTGTTCCCCCTGCCAATGCACCTCCAACCGTCTCCTCTGCAGCCAGCTAGGCTTATCGTCCCTAATGGCTGCTCCACCGACTTCAACAAAAATGATATAGCTGACATGGGGAGGCCTACAGTGCCTGAGGAAATGCCTTTCATCTATCATGGAGAAAGTGGGAGCCATCAAGTGCATAATAAAGAGGAGGGTTTGCTTGATGAGGTTTACTGTCTGCTGGAAGCAAGGGCTCCTATGGGACAGGAGCTCCAAAAGCCTCTACCTCGGAGTAGGCTCAACCATGGGCTTCCATCGGGTGATTATGAAAAGACGGCAATGCATGAGGAGGAGCAGGCAGCAGGTTGTGTGGGAAACGTCGCAGCGCATTCCTTCCTTACATCAGCCTGTGAAGCGCAGGGAAGGCCAGCACACAATGTCTTTGAATCACCTCATAAAGAAGACAATCTGGCATACAGAGTGGGGGAGAATGGAGAACGTTTCTGTCTCGTTCAGCCGTGTGAGAGGGGAGAGGAGTTGGTACACCATTCCTTTGCGGCTGCCCAAAGGGAGGACTGGAATGAGGGGCCGGTGAATGGACGTTCAGCAGCTGTGCTGGCAAGACTGATGAGGCCTCTGGTGGGTGCTGCTGAGCCTGACGGCTGCGCTGCTGTGGCCGATGGCTCCGCTGCTGTGGCTGATGGCTGTGCTGCATCCCATGCTCCTGGGATTTTGACCCAGTGGGCAACACTGATGAGGCCTGTTGTGGGTTCTGCTTTGGCTGATGGCTGTGCTGCTGTGGCTGACGGCGCCCCTGTGGCTGATGGCTGTGCTGCTGTTGCTAACGGCGCCCCTGTGGCTGATGGCTGTGCTCCTGCGGCTAACGGCTGTGCTGCATCACACACGTCTGGGATCTTGAAGCAGAGGGCTACACTGATGAGGCCTGTTGTGGGTGCTGCTGTGGCTGACTGTGCTCCTATGGCTGATGGCTGTGCTCCTGTGACCGATGGATATGCTGCTGTGGCTGATGGCTGTGCGGCATCCGATGCGCCTGGGCTTCTGGACCAGTGGGATGCGCTGCAGATGTTTTTCGGGTTGACTCACAATTCATCTTGGACTGACAGCTATACTGCATCTGGTGCTCCTGGAATTCCAGCCCAGTGGGATGGGACATCTCTGTGGCAAAAACAGCAGGAGCAGAAGCAGAAGCAGGAGCAGCAGCAGCAGCAGCATCAGCAGCTACAGCAGGAACAACCGCCATTAAATCACCAGCAACTGCAACCCGAGTGGCAGCAACAGCAACAACAGCAGCACCCGTTATGCAATTTGACAGCTTTGCTGCTGTCGTTTGCCGATTCTATTACAGAGCTCCCTGCCCAAGACATTCTCGAGACTGTGTCTGCTGCTGTGCCTGCTGTTCTCTGCAGCCCTAGTGTCTCTGCCTCACAATTTCTCACAAGCAACCCCCGCAAGATGTCAAGTCACGCAGGCATGTGCTTGTCCCACACAGCTGAAGCGGGGACTCCTCATACACTTGAAACTGGGCCTTCTCATAGGCTTCATAAGCGTCCTGCCTCAGCCGTGTGTACACCTCTGCCTTCCTCCCCTCCCTGTGCCTCTGCCTGCGCCCGTGCCTGCGCCCGTGCCTGCGCCCGTGCCTGCGCCCGTGCCTGCGCCCGTGCCTGCGCCCGTGCCTGCGCCCGTGCCTGCGCCCGTGCCTGCGCCCGTGCCTGCGCCCGTGCCTGCGCCCGTGCCTGCGCCCGTGCCTGCGCCCGTGCCTGCGCCCGTGCCTGCGCCCGTGCCTGCGCCCGTGCCTGCGCCCGTGCCTGCGCCCGTGCCTGCGCCCGTGCCTGCGCCCGTGCCTGCGCCCGTGCCTGCGCCCGTGCCTGCGCCCGTGCCTGCGCCCGTGCCTGCGCCCGTGCCTGCGCCCGTGCCTGCGCCCGTGCCTGCGCCCGTGTGCCTGCGCCCGTGCCTGCGCCCGTGCCTGCGCCCGTGCCTGCGCCCGTGCCTGCGCCCGTGCCTGCGCCCGTGCCTGCGCCCGTGCCTGCGCCCGTGCCTGCGCCCGTGCCTTGCGCCCGTGCCTGCGCCCGTGCCTGCGCCCGTGCCTGCGCCCGTGCCTGCGCCCGTGCCTGCGCCCGTGCCTGGCGCCCGTGCCTGCGCCCGTGCCTGCGCCCGTGGCCTGCGCCCGTGCCTGCGCCCGTGCCTGCGCCCGTGCCTGCGCCCGTGCCTGCGCCCGTGCCTGCGCCCGTGCCTGCGCCCGGTGCCTGCGCCCGTGCCTGCGCCCGTGCCTGCGCCCGTGCCTGCGCCCGTGCCTGCGCCCGTGCCTGCGCCCGTGCCTGCGCCCGTGCGCCCGTGCCTGCGCCCGTGCCTGCGCCCGTGCCTGCGCCCGTGCCTGCGCCCGTGCCTGCGCCCGTGCCTGCGCCCGTGCCTGCGCCCGTGCCTGCGCCCGTGCCTGCGCCCGTGCCTGCGCCCGTGCCTGCGCCCGTGCCTGCGCCCGTGCCTGCGCACGTAACCTCGGGAAGGAAGAGAAGCATGAGGAGCTGTATGCCATGGGTGCAGCTTGGGGTGACCCTACTCTCTCTGCCTGCAACGGCGCCTGTACCCATGAACCCGCCTCTGCCCATGACTGCACCTGTGCCCATGACTGCACCTGTGCCCATGACTGCACCTGTGCCCATGACTGCACCTGTGCCCATGACTGCACCTGTGCCCATGACTGCACCTGTGCCCATGACTGCACCTGTGCCCATGACTGCACCTGTGCCCATGACTGCACCTGTGCCCATGACTGCACCTGTGCTCATGACTGCACCTGTGCCCACGACTGCACCTGTGCCCATGACTGCACCTGTGCCCATGACTGCACCTGTGCCCATGACTGCACCTGTGCCCATGACTGCACCTGTGCCCATGACTGCACCTGTGCCCATGACTGCACCTGTGCCCATGACTGCACCTGTGCCCATGACTGCACCTGTGCCCATGACTGCACCTGTGCCCATGACTGCACCTGTGCCCATGACTGCACCTGTGCCCATGACTGCACCTGTGCCCATGACTGCACCTGTGCCCATGACTGCACCTGTGCCCATGACTGCACCTGTGCCCATGACTGCACCTGTGCCCATGACTGCACCTGTGCCCATGACTGCACCTGTGCCCATGACTGCACCTGTGCCCATGACTGCACCTGTGCCCATGACTGCACCTGTGCCCATGACTGCACCTGTGCCCATGACTGCACCTGTGCCCATGACTGCACCTGTGCCCATGACTGCACCTGTGCCCATGACTGCACCTGTGCCCATGACTGCACCTGTGCCCATGACTGCACCTGTGCCCATGACTGCACCTGTGCCCATGACTGCACCTGTGCCCATGACTGCACCTGTGCCCATGACTGCACCTGTGCCCATGACTGCACCTGTGCCCATGACTGCACCTGTGCCCATGACTGCACCTGTGCCCATGACTGCACCTGTGCTCATGACTGCACCTGTGCCCATGACTGCACCTGTGCCCATGACTGCACCTGTGCCCATGACTGCACCTGTGCCCATGACTGCACCTGTGCCCATGACTGCACCTGTGCCCATGACTGCACCTGTGCCCATGACTGCACCTGTGCCCATGACTGCACCTGTGCCCATGACTGCACCTGTGCCCATGACTGCACCTGTGCCCATGACTGCACCTGTGCCCATGACTGCACCTGTGCCCATGACTGCACCTGTGCCCATGACTGCACCTGTGCCATGACTGCACCTGTGCCCATGACTGCACCTGTGCCCATGACTGCACCTGTGCCCATGACTGCACCTGTGCCCATGACTGCACCTGTGCCCATGACTGCACCTGTGCCCATGACTGCACCTGTGCCCATGACTGCACCTGTGCCCATGACTGCACCTGTGCCCATGACTGCACCTGTGCCCATGACTGCACCTGTGCCCATGACTGCACCTGTGCCCATGACTGCACCTGTGCCCATGACTGCACCTGTGCCCATGACTGCACCTGTGCCCATGACTGCACCTGTGCCCATGACTGCACCTGTGCCCATGACTGCACCTGTGCTCATGACTGCACCTGTGCCCATGACTGCACCTGTGCCCATGACTGCACCTGTGCCCATGACTGCACCTGTGCCCATGACTGCACCTGTGCCCATGACTGCACCTGTGCCCATGACTGCACCTGTGCCCATGACTGCACCTGTGCCCATGACTGCACCTGTGCCCATGACTGCACCTGTGCCCATGACTGCACCTGTGCCCATGACTGCACCTGTGCCCATGACTGCACCTGTGCCCATGACTGCACCTGTGCTCATGACTGCACCTGTGCCCATGACTGCACCTGTGCCCATGACTGCACCTGTGCCCATGACTGCACCTGTGCCCATGACTGCACCTGTGCCCATGACTGCACCTGTGCCCATGACTGCACCTGTGCCCATGACTGCACCTGTGCCCATGACTGCACCTGTGCTCATGACTGCACTGCCATGACTGCACCTGTGCCCATGACTGCACCTGTGCCCATGACTGCACCTGTGCCCATGACTGCACCTGTGCCATGACTGCACCTGTGCCCATGACTGCACCTGTGCCCATGACTGCACCTGTGCCCATGACTGCACCTGTGCCCATGACTGCACCTGTGCCCATGACTGCACCTGTGCCCATGACTGCACCTGTGCCCATGACTGCACCTGTGCCCATGACTGCACCTGTGCCCATGACTGCACCTGTGCCCATGACTGCACCTGTGCCCATGACTGCACCTGTGCCCATGACTGCACCTGTGCTCATGACTGCACCTGTGCCCACGACTGCACCTGTGCCCATGACTGCACCTGTGCCCATGACTGCACCTGTGCCCATGACTGCACCTGTGCCCATGACTGCACCTGTGCCCATGACTGCACCTGTGCCCATGACTGCACCTGTGCCCATGACTGCACCTGTGCCCATGACTGCACCTGTGCCCATGACTGCACCTGTGCCCATGACTGCACCTGTGCCCATGACTGCACCTGTGCCCATGACTGCACCTGTGCCCATGACTGCACCTGTGCCCATGACTGCACCTGTGCTCATGACTGCACCTGTGCCCATGACTGCACCTGTGCCCATGACTGCACCTGTGCCCATGACTGCACCTGTGCTCATGACTGCACCTGTGCCCATGACTGCACCTGTGCCCATGACTGCACCTGTGCCCATGACTGCACCTGTGCCCATGACTGCACCTGTGCCCATGACTGCACCTGTGCCCATGACTGCACCTGTGCCCATGACTGCACCTGTGCCCATGACTGCACCTGTGCTCATGACTGCACCTGTGCCCATGACTGCACCTGTGCCCATGACTGCACCTGTGCCCATGACTGCACCTGTGCTCATGACTGCACCTGTGCCCATGACTGCACCTGTGCCCATGACTGCACCTGTGCCCATGACTGCACCTGTGCCCATGACTGCACCTGTGCCCATGACTGCACCTGTGCCCATGACTGCACCTGTGCCCATGACTGCACCTGTGCCCATGACTGCACCTGTGCCCATGACTGCACCTGTGCCCATGACTGCACCTGTGCCCATGACTGCACCTGTGCCCATGACTGCACCTGTGCTCATGACTGCACCTGTGCCCATGACTGCACCTGTGCCCATGACTGCACCTGTGCCCATGACTGCACCTGTGCCCATGACTGCACCTGTGCCCATGACTGCACCTGTGCCCATGACTGCACCTGTGCCCATGACTGCACCTGTGCCCATGACTGCACCTGTGCCCATGACTGCACCTGTGCTCATGACTGCACCTGTGCCCATGACTGCACCTGTGCCCATGACTGCACCTGTGCCCATGACTGCACCTGTGCCCATGACTGCACCTGTGCCCATGACTGCACCTGTGCCCATGACTGCACCTGTGCCCATGACTGCACCTGTGCTCATGACTGCACCTGTGCCCATGACTGCACCTGTGCTCATGACTGCACCTGTGCCCATGACTGCACCTGTGCTCATGACTGCACCTGTGCCCATGACTGCACCTGTGCCCATGACTGCACCTGTGCTCATGACTGCACCTGGGCCCAGACTGCACCTGTGCCATGACTGCACCTGTGCCCATGACTGCACCTGTGCCCATGACTGCACCTGTGCCCATGACTGCACCTGTGCCCATGACTGCACCTGTGCCCATGACTGCACCTGTGCCCATGACTGCACCTGTGCCCATGACTGCACCTGTGCCCATGACTGCACCTGTGCCCATGACTGCACCTGTGCCCATGACTGCACCTGTGCCCATGACTGCACCTGTGCCCATGACTGCACCTGTGCCCATGACTGCACCTGTGCCCATGACTGCACCTGTGCCCATGACTGCACCTGTGCCCATGACTGCACCTGTGCCCATGACTGCACCTGTGCCCATGACTGCACCTGTGCCCATGACTGCACCTGTGCCCATGACTGCACCTGTGCCCATGACTGCACCTGTGCTCATGACTGCACCTGTGCCCATGACTGCACCTGTGCCCATGACTGCACCTGTGCCCATGACTGCACCTGTGCCCATGACTGCACCTGTGCCCATGACTGCACCTGTGCCCATGACTGCACCTGTGCCCATGACTGCACCTGTGCCCATGACTGCACCTGTGCCCATGACTGCACCTGTGCCCATGACTGCACCTGTGCCATGACTGCACCTGTGCCCATGACTGCACCTGTGCCCATGACTGCACCTGTGCCCATGACTGCACCTGTGCCCATGACTGCACCTGTGCCCATGACTGCACCTGTGCCATGACTGCACCTGTGCCCATGACTGCACCTGTGCCCATGACTGCACCTGTGCCCATGACTGCACCTGTGCCCATGACTGCACCTGTGCCCATGACTGCACCTGTGCCCATGACTGCACCTGTGCCATGACTGCACCTGTGCCCATGACTGCACCTGTGCCCATGACTGCACCTGTGCCCATGACTGCACCTGTGCCCATGACTGCACCTGTGCCCATGACTGCACCTGTGCCCATGACTGCACCTGTGCCCATGACTGCACCTGTGCCCATGACTGCACCTGTGCCCATGACTGCACCTGTGCCCATGACTGCACCTGTGCCCATGACTGCACCTGTGCCCATGACTGCACCTGTGCCCATGACTGCACCTGTGCCCATGACTGCACCTGTGCCCTGTGCCCATGACTGCACCTGTGCCCATGACTGCACCTGTGCCCATGACTGCACCTGTGCCCATGACTGCACCTGTGCCCATGACTGCACCTGTGCCCATGACTGCACCTGTGCCCATGACTGCACCTGTGCCCATGACTGCACCTGTGCCCATGACTGCACCTGTGCCCATGACTGCACCTGTGCCCATGACTGCACCTGTGCCCATGACTGCACCTGTGCCCATGACTGCACCTGTGCCCATGACTGCACCTGTGCCCATGACTGCACCTGTGCCCATGACTGCACCTGTGCCCATGACTGCACCTGTGCCCATGACTGCACCTGTGCCCATGACTGCACCTGTGCCCATGACTGCACCTGTGCCCATGACTGCACCTGTGCCCATGACTGCACCTGTGCCCATGACTGCACCTGTGCCCATGACTGCACCTGTGCCCATGACTGCACCTGTGCCCATGACTGCACCTGTGCCCATGACTGCACCTGTGCCCATGACTGCACCTGTGCCCATGACTGCACCTGTGCCCATGACTGCACCTGTGCCCATGACTGCACCTGTGCCCATGACTGCACCTGTGCCCATGACTGCACCTGTGCCCATGACTGCACCTGTGCCCATGACTGCACCTGTGCCCCATGACTGCACCTGTGCCCATGACTGCACCTGTGCCCATGACTGCACCTGTGCCCATGACTGCACCTGTGCCCATGACTGCACCTGTGCCCATGACTGCACCTGTGCCCATGACTGCACCTGTGCCCATGACTGCACCTGTGCCCATGACTGCACCTGTGCCCATGACTGCACCTGTGCCCATGACTGCACCTGTGGCCCATGACTGCACCTGTGCCCATGACTGCACCTGTGCCCATGACTGCACCTGTGCCCATGACTGCACCTGTGCCCATGACTGCACCTGTGCCCATGACTGCACCTGTGCCCATGACTGCACCTGTGCCCATGACTGCACCTGTGCCCATGACTGCACCTGTGCCCATGACTGCACCTGTGCCCATGACTGCACCTGTGCCCATGACTGCACCTGTGCCATGACTGCAACCTGTGCCCATGACTGCACCTGTGCTCATGACTGCACCTGTGCCCATGACTGCACCTGTGCTCATGACTGCACCTGTGCCCATGACTGCACCTGTGCCCATGACTGCACCTGTGCCCATGACTGCACCTGTGCCCATGACTGCACCTGTGCCCATGACTGCACCTGTGCCCATGACTGCACCTGTGCCATGACTGCACCTGTGCCCATGACTGCACCTGTGCCCATGACTGCACCTGTGCCCATGACTGCACCTGTGCCCATGACTGCACCTGTGCCCATGACTGCACCTGTGCCCATGACTGCACCTGTGCCCATGACTGCACCTGTGCCCATGACTGCACCTGTGCCCATGACTGCACCTGTGCCCATGACTGCACCTGTGCCCATGACTGCACCTGTGCCCATGACTGCACCTGTGCCCATGACTGCACCTGTGCCCATGACTGCACCTGTGCCCATGACTGCACCTGTGCCCATGACTGCACCTGTGCCCATGACTGCACCTGTGCCCATGACTGCACCTGTGCCCATGACTGCACCTGTGCCCATGACTGCACCTGTGCTCATGACTGCACCTGTGCCCATGACTGCACCTGTGCCCATGACTGCACCTGTGCCCATGACTGCACCTGCGCCCATGACTGCACCTGTGCCCATGACTGCACCTGTGCCCATGACTGCACCTGTGCTCATGACTGCACCTGTGCCCATGACTGCACCTGTGCTCATGACTGCACCTGTGCCCATGACTGCACCTGTGCCCATGACTGCACCTGTGCCCATGACTGCACCTGTGCCCATGACTGCACCTGTGCCCATGACTGCACCTGTGCCCATGACTGCACCTGTGCCCATGACTGCACCTGTGCCCATGACTGCACCTGTGCCCATGACTGCACCTGTGCTCATGACTGCACCTGTGCCCATGACTGCACCTGTGCTCATGACTGCACCTGTGCCCATGACTGCACCTGTGCCCATGACTGCACCTGTGCCCATGACTGCACCTGTGCCCATGACTGCACCTGTGCCCATGACTGCACCTGTGCCCATGACTGCACCTGTGCCCATGACTGCACCTGTGCCCATGACTGCACCTGTGCCCATGACTGCACCTGTGCCCATGACTGCACCTGTGCCCATGACTGCACCTGTGCCCATGACTGCACCTGTGCCCATGACTGCACCTGTGCCCATGACTGCACCTGTGCCCATGACTGGCACCTGTGCCCATGACTGCACCTGTGCCCATGACTGCACCTGTGCCCATGACTGCACCTGTGCCCATGACTGCACCTGTGCCCATGACTCACCTGTGCCCATGACTGCACCTGTGCCCATGACTGCACCTGTGCCCATGACTGCACCTGTGCCCATGACTGCACCTGTGCCCATGACTGCACCTGTGCCCATGACTGCACCTGTGCCCATGACTGCACCTGTGCCCATGACTGCACCTGTGCCCATGACTGCACCTGTGCCCATGACTGCACCTGTGCCCATGACTGCACCTGTGCCCATGACTGCACCTGTGCCCATGACTGCACCTGTGCCCATGACTGCACCTGTGCCCATGACTGCACCTGTGCCCATGACTGCACCTGTGCCCATGACTGCACCTGTGCCCATGACTGCACCTGTGCCCATGACTGCACCTGTGCCCATGACTGCACCTGTGGCCCATGACTGCACCTGTGCCCATGACTGCACCTGTGCCCATGACTGCACCTGTGCCCATGACTGCACCTGTGCCCATGACTGCACCTGTGCCCATGACTGCACCTGTGCCCATGACTGCACCTGTGCCCATGACTGCACCTGTGCCCATGACTGCACCTGTGCCCATGACTGCACCTGTGCTCATGACTGCACCTGTGCCCATGACTGCACCTGTGCCCATGACTGCACCTGTGCCCATGACTGCACCTGTGCCCATGACTGCACCTGTGCCCATGACTGCACCTGTGCCCATGACTGCACCTGTGCCCATGACTGCACCTGTGCCCATGACTGCACCTGTGCCCATGACTGCACCTGTGCCCATGACTGCACCTGTGCTCATGACTGCACCTGTGCCCATGACTGCACCTGTGCTCATGACTGCACCTGTGCCCATGACTGCACCTGTGCCCATGACTGCACCTGTGCCCATGACTGCACCTGTGCCCATGACTGCACCTGTGCCCATGACTGCACCTGTGCCCATGACTGCACCTGTGCCCATGACTGCACCTGTGCCCATGACTGCACCTGTGCCCATGACTGCACCTGTGCTCATGACTGCACCTGTGCCCATGACTGCACCTGTGCTCATGACTGCACCTGTGCCCATGACTGCACCTGTGCTCATGACTGCACCTGTGCCCATGACTGCACCTGTGCCCATGACTGCACCTGTGCCCATGACTGCACCTGTGCCCATGACTGCACCTGTGCTCATGACTGCACCTGTGCCCATGACTGCACCTGTGCCCATGACTGCACCTGTGCCCATGACTGCACCTGTGCCCATGACTGCACCTGTGCCCATGACTGCACCTGTGCTCATGACTGCACCTGTGCCCATGACTGCACCTGTGCTCATGACTGCACCTGTGCCCATGACTGCACCTGTGCCCATGACTGCACCTGTGCCCATGACTGCACCTGTGCCCATGACTGCACCTGTGCCCATGACTGCACCTGTGCCCATGACTGCACCTGTGCCCATGACTGCACCTGTGCCCATGACTGCACCTGTGCCCATGACTGCACCTGTGCCCATGACTGCACCTGTGCTCATGACTGCACCTGTGCCCATGACTGCACCTGTGCCCATGACTGCACCTGTGCCAATGACTGCACCTGTGCCCATGACTGCACCTGTGCCCATGACTGCACCTGTGCCCATGACTGCACCTGTGCCCATGACTGCACCTGTGCCCATGACTGCACCTGTGCCCATGACTGCACCTGTGCCCATGACTGCACCTGTGCCTCATGACTGCACCTGTGCCCATGACTGCACCTGTGCCCATGACTGCACCTGTGCCCATGACTGCACCTGTGCCCATGACTGCACCTGTGCCCATGACTGCACCTGTGCCCATGACTGCACCTGTGCCCATGACTGCACCTGTGCCCATGACTGCACCTGTGCCCATGACTGCACCTGTGCCCATGACTGCACCTGTGCCCATGACTGCACCTGTGCCCATGACTGCACCTGTGCCCATGACTGCACCTGTGCCCATGACTGCACCTGTGCCCATGACTGCACCTGTGCCCATGACTGCACCTGTGCCCATGACTGCACCTGTGCCCATGACTGCACCTGTGCCATGACTGCACCTGTGCTCATGACTGCACCTGTGCTCATGACTGCACCTGTGCTCATGACTGCACCTGTGCTCATGACTGCACCTGTGCTCATGACTGCACCTGTGCTCATGACTGCACCTGTGCTCATGACTGCACCTGTGCTCATGACTGCACCTGTGCTCATGACTGCACCTGTGCTCATGACTGCACCTGTGCTCATGACTGCACCTGTGCTCATGACTGCACCTGTGCTCATGACTGCACCTGTGCTCATGACTGCACCTGTGCTCATGACTGCACCTGTGCTCATGACTGCACCTGTGCTCATGACTGCACCTGTGCTCATGACTGCACCTGTGCTCATGACTGCACCTGTGCTCATGACTGCACCTGTGCTCATGACTGCACCTGTGCTCATGACTGCACCTGTGCTCATGACTGCACCTGTGCTCATGACTGCACCTGTGCTCATGACTGCACCTGTGCTCATGACTGCACCTGTGCTCATGACTGCACCTGTGCTCATGACTGCACCTGTGCTCATGACTGCACCTGTGCTCATGACTGCACCTGTGCTCATGACTGCACCTGTGCTCATGACTGCACCTGTGCTCATGACTGCACCTGTGCTCATGACTGCACCTGTGCTCATGACTGCACCTGTGCTCATGACTGCACCTGTGCTCATGACTGCACCTGTGCTCATGACTGCACCTGTGCTCATGACTGCACCTGTGCTCATGACTGCACCTGTGCTCATGACTGCACCTGTGCTCATGACTGCACCTGTGCTCATGACTGCACCTGATGACTGCACTGTGCTCATGACTGCACCTGTGCTCATGACTGCACCTGTGCTCATGACTGCACCTGTGCTCATGACTGCACCTGTGCTCATGACTGCACCTGTGCTCATGACTGCACCTGTGCTCATGACTGCACCTGTGCTCATGACTGCACCTGTGCTCATGACTGCACCTGTGCTCATGACTGCACCTGTGCTCATGACTGCACCTGTGCTCATGACTGCACCTGTGCTCATGACTGCACCTGTGCTCATGACTGCACCTGTGCTCATGACTGCACCTGTGCTCATGACTGCACCTGTGCTCATGACTGCACCTGTGCTCATGACTGCACCTGTGCTCATGACTGCACCTGTGCTCATGACTGCACCTGTGCTCATGACTGCACCTGTCCTGTGCTCATGACTGCACCTGTGCTCATGACTGCACCTGTGCTCATGACTGCACCTGTGCTCATGACTGCACCTGTGCTCATGACTGCACCTGTGCTCATGACTGCACCTGTGCTCATGACTTGCACCTGTGCTCATGACTGCACCTGTGCTCCATGACTGCACCTGTGCCCATGACTGCACCTGTGCTCATGACTGCACCTGTGCTCATGACTGCACCTGTGCTCATGACTGCACCTGTGCTCATGACTGCACCTGTGCCTCATGACTGCACCTGTGCTCATGACTGCACCTGTGCTCATGACTGCACCTGTGCTCATGACTGCACCTGTGCTCATGACTGCACCTGTGCTCATGACCCTGTGCTCATGACTGCACCTGTGCTCATGACTGCACCTGTGCTCATGACTGCACCTGTGCTCATGACTGCACCTGTGCTCATGACTGCACCTGTGCCCATGACTGCACCTGTGCCCATGACTGCACCTGTGCCCATGACTGCACCTGTGCCCATGACTGCACCTGTGCCCATGACTGCACCTGTGCCCATGACTGCACCTGTGCCCATGACTGCACCTGTGCCCATGACTGCACCTGTGCTCATGACTGCACCTGTGCCCATGACTGCACCTGTGCCCATGACTGCACCTGTGCTCATGACTGCACCTGTGCCCATGACTGCACCTGTGCCCATGACTGCACCTGTGCTCATGACTGCACCTGTGCTCATGACTGCACCTGTGCTCATGACTGCACCTGTGCTCATGACTGCACCTGTGCCCATGACTGCACCTGTGCTCATGACTGCACCTGTGCTCATGACTGCACCTGTGCTCATGAATGCACCTGTGCCCATGACTGCACCTGTGCTCATGACTGCACCTGTGCCCATGACTGCACCTGTGCTCATGACTGCACCTGTGCTCATGACTGCACCTGTGCTCATGACTGCACCTGTGCTCATGACTGCACCTGTGCTCATGACTGCACCTGTGCTCATGACTGCACCTGTGCTCATGACTGCACCTGTGCTCATGACTGCACCTGTGCTCATGACTGCACCTGTGCTCATGACTGCACCTGTGCTCATGACTGCACCTGTGCCCATGACTGCACCTGTGCCCATGACTGCACCTGTGCCCATGACTGCACCTGTGCCCATGACTGCACCTGTGCCCATGACTGCACCTGTGCCCATGACTGCACCTGTGCTCATGACTGCACCTGTGCCCATGACTGCACCTGTGCCCATGACTGCACCTGTGCTCATGACTGCACCTGTGCCCATGACTGCACCTGTGCCCATGACTGCACCTGTGCCCATGACTGCACCTGTGCTCATGACTGCACCTGTGCTCATGACTGCACCTGTGCTCATGACTGCACCTGTGCCCATGACTGCACCTGTGCCCATGACTGCACCTGTGCTCATGACTGCACCTGTGCTCATGACTGCACCTGTGCCCATGACTGCACCTGTGCTCATGACTGCACCTGTGCCCATGACTGCACCTGTGCTCATGACTGCACCTGTGCTCATGACTGCACCTGTGCTCATGACTGCACCTGTGCTCATGACTACACCTGTGCTCATGACTGCACCTGTGCTCATGACTGCACCTGTGCTCATGACTGCACCTGTGCTCATGACTGCACCTGTGCTCATGACTGCACCTGTGCTCATGACTGCACCTGTGCCCATGACTGCACCTGTGCCCATGACTGCACCTGTGCCCATGACTGCACCTGTGCCCATGACTGCACCTGTGCCCATGACTGCACCTGTGCCCATGACTGCACCTGTGCCCATGACTGCACCTGTGCTCATGACTGCACCTGTGCCCATGACTGCACCTGTGCCCATGACTGCACCTGTGCTCATGACTGCACCTGTGCCCATGACTGCACCTGTGCCCATGACTGCACCTGTGCTCATGACTGCACCTGTGCTCATGACTGCACCTGTGCTCATGACTGCACCTGTGCCCATGACTGCACCTGTGCTCATGACTGCACCTGTGCTCATGACTGCACCTGTGCTCATGACTGCACCTGTGCTCATGACTGCACCTGTGCTCATGACTGCACCTGTGCTCATGACTGCACCTGTGCTCATGACTGCACCTGTGCTCATGACTGCACCTGTGCTCATGACTGCACCTGTGCTCATGACTGCACCTGTGCTCATGACTGCACCTGTGCCCATGACTGCACCTGTGCCCATGACTGCACCTGTGCCCATGACTGCACCTGTGCCCATGACTGCACCTGTGCCCATGACTGCACCTGTGCTCATGACTGCACCTGTGCTCATGACTGCACCTGTGCTCATGACTGCACCTGTGCTCATGACTGCACCTGTGCTCATGACTGCACCTGTGCTCATGACTGCACCTGTGCTCATGACTGCACCTGTGCTCATGACTGCACCTGTGCTCATGACTGCACCTGTGCTCATGACTGCACCTGTGCTCATGACTGCACCTGTGCCTCATGACTGCACCTGTGCCCATGACTGCACCTGTGCCCATGACTGCACCTGTGCCCATGACTGCACCTGTGCCCATGACTGCACCTGTGCCCATGACTGCACCTGTGCTCATGACTGCACCTGTGCTCATGACTGCACCTGTGCTCATGACTGCACCTGTGCTCATGACTGCACCTGTGCTCATGACTGCACCTGTGCTCATGACTGCACCTGTGCTCATGACTGCACCTGTGCTCATGACTGCACCTGTGCTCATGACTGCACCTGTGCTCATGACTGCACCTGTGCTCATGACTGCACCTGTGCTCATGACTGCACCTGTGCTCATGACTGCACCTGTGCTCATGACTGCACCTGTGCTCATGACTGCACCTGCTGTGCTCATGACTGCACCTGTGCTCATGACTGCACCTGTGCTCATGACTGCACCTGTGCTCATGACTGCACCTGTGCTCATGACTGCACCTGTGCTCATGACTGCACCTGTGCTCATGACTGCACCTGTGCTCATGACTGCACCTGTGCTCATGACTGCACCTGTGCTCATGACTGCACCTGTGCTCATGACTGCACCTGTGCTCATGACTGCACCTGTGCTCATGACTGCACCTGTGCTCATGACTGCACCTGTGCTCATGACTGCACCTGTGCTCTACTGCCTGTGCTCATGCTGCAACCTGTGCTCATGACTGCACCTGTGCTCATGACTGCACCTGTGCTCATGACTGCACCTGTGCTCATGACTGCACCTGTGCTCATGACTGCACCTGTGCTCATGACTGCACCTGTGCTCATGACTGCACCTGTGCTCATGACTGCACCTGTGCTCATGACTGCACCTGTGCTCATGACTGCACTGTGCTCTGACTGCACCTGTGCTCATGACTGCACCTGTGCTCATGACTGCACCTGTGCTCATGACTGCACCTGTGCTCATGACTGCACCTGTGCTCATGACTGCACCTGTGCTCATGACTGCACCTGTGCTCATGACTGCACCTGTGCTCATGACTGCACCTGTGCTCATGACTGCACCTGTGCTCATGACTGCACCTGTGCTCATGACTGCACCTGTGCTCATGACTGCACCTGTGCTCATTGACTGCACCTGTGCTCATGACTGCACCTGTGCTCAGACTGCACCTTGCTCATTGACTGCACCTGTGCTCATGACTGGCACCTGTGCTCATGACTTGCACCTGTGCTCATGACTGCACCTGTGCTCATGACTGCCCTGTGCTCATGACTGCACCTGTGCTCATGACTGCACCTGTGTCATGACTGCACCTGTGCTCATGACTGCACCTGTGCTCATGACTGCACCTGTGCTCATGACTGCACCTGTGCTCTGACTGCACCTTGCTCATGACTGCCCTGTGCTCATGACTGCACCTGTGCTCATGACTGCACCTGTCTCATGACTGCACCTGTGCTCATGACTGCACCTGTGCTCATGACTGCACCTGTGCTCATGACTGCACCTGTGCTCATGACTGCACCTGTGCTCATGACTGCACCTGTGCCCATGACTGCACCTGTGCCCATGACTGCACCTGTGCCCATGACTGCACGTGTGCTCATGACTGCACCTGTGCTCATGACTGCACCTGTGCTCATGACTGCACCTGTGCTCATGACTGCACCTGTGCCCATGACTGCACCTGTGCTCATGACTGCACCTGTGCTCATGACTGCACCTGTGCTCATGACTGCACCTGTGCTCATGACTGCACCTGTGCTCATGACTGCACCTGTGCTCATGACTGCACCTGTGCTCATGACTGCACCTGTGCTCATGACTGCACCTGTGCTCATGACTGCACCTGTGCCCATGACTGCACCTGTGCCCATGACTGCACCTGTGCCCATGACTGCACCTGTGCCCATGACTGCACCTGTGCCCATGACTGCACCTGTGCCCATGACTGCACCTGTGCCCATGACTGCACCTGTGCCCATGACTGCACCTGTGCTCATGACTGCACCTGTGCCCATGACTGCACCTGTGCCCATGACTGCACCTGTGCTCATGACTGCACCTGTGCCCATGACTGCACCTGTGCCCATGACTGCACCTGTGCTCATGACTGCACCTGTGCTCATGACTGCACCTGTGCTCATGACTGCACCTGTGCCCATGACTGCACCTGTGCCCATGACTGCACCTGTGCTCATGACTGCACCTGTGCTCATGAATGCACCTGTGCCCATGACTGCACCTGTGCTCATGACTGCACCTGTGCCCATGACTGCACCTGTGCTCATGACTGCACCTGTGCTCATGACTGCACCTGTGCTCATGACTGCACCTGTGCTCATGACTGCACCTGTGCTCATGACTGCACCTGTGCTCATGACTGCACCTGTGCTCATGACTGCACCTGTGCTCATGACTGCACCTGTGCTCATGACTGCACCTGTGCTCATGACTGCACCTGTGCTCATGACTGCACCTGTGCTCATGACTGCACCTGTGCTCATGACTGCACCTGTGCTCATGACTGCACCTGTGCTCATGACTGCACCTGTGCTCATGACTGCACCTGTGCTCATGACTGCACCTGTGCTCATGACTGCACCTGTGCTCATGACTGCACCTGTGCTCATGACTGCACCTGTGCTCATGACTGCACCTGTGCTCATGACTGCACCTGTGCCCATGACTGCACCTGTGCCCATGACTGCACCTGTGCCCATGACTGCACCTGTGCTCATGACTGCACCTGTGCTCATGACTGCACCTGTGCTCATGACTGCACCTGTGCTCATGACTGCACCTGTGCCCATGACTGCACCTGTGCTCATGACTGCACCTGTGCTCATGACTGCACCTGTGCTCATGACTGCACCTGTGCTCATGACTGCACCTGTGCTCATGACTGCACCTGTGCTCATGACTGCACCTGTGCTCATGACTGCACCTGTGCTCATGACTGCACCTGTGCTCATGACTGCACCTGTGCCCATGACTGCACCTGTGCCCATGACTGCACCTGTGCCCATGACTGCACCTGTGCCCATGACTGCACCTGTGCCCATGACTGCACCTGTGCCCATGACTGCACCTGTGCCCATGACTGCACCTGTGCCCATGACTGCACCTGTGCCCATGACTGCACCTGTGCTCATGACTGCACCTGTGCCCATGACTGCACCTGTGCCCATGACTGCACCTGTGCTCATGACTGCACCTGTGCCCATGACTGCACCTGTGCCCATGACTGCACCTGTGCTCATGACTGCACCTGTGCTCATGACTGCACCTGTGCTCATGACTGCACCTGTGCCCATGACTGCACCTGTGCCCATGACTGCACCTGTGCTCATGACTGCACCTGTGCTCATGAATGCACCTGTGCCCATGACTGCACCTGTGCTCATGACTGCACCTGTGCCCATGACTGCACCTGTGCTCATGACTGCACCTGTGCTCATGACTGCACCTGTGCTCATGACTGCACCTGTGCTCATGACTGCACCTGTGCTCATGACTGCACCTGTGCTCATGACTGCACCTGTGCTCATGACTGCACCTGTGCTCATGACTGCACCTGTGCTCATGACTGCACCTGTGCTCATTACTGCACCTGTGCTCATGACTGCACCTGTGCTCATGACTGCACCTGTGCCCATGACTGCACCTGTGCCCATGACTGCACCTGTGCCCATGACTGCACCTGTGCCCATGACTGCACCTGTGCCCATGACTGCACCTGTGCCCATGACTGCACCTGTGCCCATGACTGCACCTGTGCTCATGACTGCACCTGTGCCCATGACTGCACCTGTGCCCATGACTGCACCTGTGCTCATGACTGCACCTGTGCCCATGACTGCACCTGTGCCCATGACTGCACCTGTGCTCATGACTGCACCTGTGCTCATGACTGCACCTGTGCTCATGACTGCACCTGTGCCCATGACTGCACCTGTGCCCATGACTGCACCTGTGCTCATGACTGCACCTGTGCTCATGACTGCACCTGTGCCCATGACTGCACCTGTGCTCATGACTGCACCTGTGCCCATGACTGCACCTGTGCTCATGACTGCACCTGTGCTCATGACTGCACCTGTGCTCATGACTGCACCTGTGCTCATGACTGCACCTGTGCTCATGACTGCACCTGTGCTCATGACTGCACCTGTGCTCATGACTGCACCTGTGCTCATGACTGCACCTGTGCTCATGACTGCACCTGTGCCCATGACTGCACCTGTGCCCATGACTGCACCTGTGCCCATGACTGCACCTGTGCCCATGACTGCACCTGTGCCCATGACTGCACCTGTGCCCATGACTGCACCTGTGCCCATGACTGCACCTGTGCCCATGACTGCACCTGTGCTCATGACTGCACCTGTGCCCATGACTGCACCTGTGCCCATGACTGCACCTGTGCTCATGACTGCACCTGTGCCCATGACTGCACCTGTGCCCATGACTGCACCTGTGCTCATGACTGCACCTGTGCTCATGACTGCACCTGTGCTCATGACTGCACCTGTGCCCATGACTGCACCTGTGCTCATGACTGCACCTGTGCTCATGACTGCACCTGTGCTCATGACTGCACCTGTGCTCATGACTGCACCTGTGCTCATGACTGCACCTGTGCTCATGACTGCACCTGTGCTCATGACTGCACCTGTGCTCATGACTGCACCTGTGCTCATGACTGCACCTGTGCTCATGACTGCACCTGTGCTCATGACTGCACCTGTGCTCATGACTGCACCTGTGCTCATGACTGCACCTGTGCTCATGACTGCACCTGTGCCCATGACTGCACCTGTGCCCATGACTGCACCTGTGCCCATGACTGCACCTGTGCCCATGACTGCACCTGTGCCCATGACTGCACCTGTGCCCATGACTGCACCTGTGCCCATGACTGCACCTGTGCCCATGACTGCACCTGTGCTCATGACTGCACCTGTGCCCATGACTGCACCTGTGCCCATGACTGCACCTGTGCTCATGACTGCACCTGTGCCCATGACTGCACCTGTGCCCATGACTGCACCTGTGCTCATGACTGCACCTGTGCTCATGACTGCACCTGTGCCCATGACTGCACCTGTGCTCATGACTGCACCTGTGCCCATGACTGCACCTGTGCCCATGACTGCACCTGTGCTCATGACTGCACCTGTGCCCATGACTGCACCTGTGCCCATGACTGCACCTGTGCCCATGACTGCACCTGTGCCCATGACTGCACCTGTGCCCATGACTGCACCTGTGCTCATGACTGCACCTGTGCTCATGACTGCACCTCTGCCCATGACTGCACCTGTGCTCATGACTGCACCTGTGCCCATGACTGCACCTGTGCTCATGACTGCACCTGTGCCCATGACTGCACCTGTGCCCATGACTGCACCTGTGCTCATGACTGCACCTGTGCCCATGACTGCACCTGTGCCCATGACTGCACCTGTGCTCATGACTGCACCTGTGCCCATGACTGCACATGTGCCCATGACTGCACCTGTGCCCATGACTGCACCTGTGCCCATGACTGCACCTGTGCCCATGACTGCACCTGTGCCCATGACTGCACCTGTGCTCATGACTGCACCTGTGCCCATGACTGCACCTGTGCCCATGACTGCACCTGTGCCCATGACTGCACCTGTGCCCATGACTGCACCTGTGCTCATGACTGCACCTGTGCCCATGACTGCACCTGTGCCCATGACTGCACCTGTGCTCATGACTGCACCTGTGCCCATGACTGCACCTGTGCCCATGACTGCACCTGTGCTCATGACTGCACCTGTGCCCATGACTGCACCTGTGCCCATGACTGCACCTGTGCCCATGACTGCACCTGTGCCCATGACTGCACCTGTGCTCATGACTGCACCTGTGCCCATGACTGCACCTGTGCCCATGACTGCACCTGTGCCCATGACTGCACCTGTGCCCATGACTGCACCTGTGCCCATGACTGCACCTGTGCCCATGACTGCACCTGTGCTCATGACTGCACCTGTGCCCATGACTGCACCTGTGCCCATGACTGCACCTGTGCCCATGACTGCACCTGTGCCTCATGACTGCACCTGTGCTCCATGACTGCACCTGTGCCCATGACTGCACCTGTGCCCATGACTGCACCTGTGCTCATGACTGCACCTGTGCCCATGACTGCACCTGTGCCCATGACTGCACCTGTGCTCATGACTGCACCTGTGCCCATGACTGCACCTGTGCCCATGACTGCACCTGTGCCCATGACTGCACCTGTGCCCATGACTGCACCTGTGCCCATGACTGCACCTGTGCCCATGACTGCACCTGTGCCCATGACTGCACCTGTGCCCATGACTGCACCTGTGCCCATGACTGCACCTGTGCCCATGACTGCACCTGTGCCCATGACTGCACCTGTGCCCATGACTGCACCTGTGCCCATGACTGCACCTGTGCCCATGACTGCACCTGTGCCCATGACTGCACCTGTGCCCATGACTGCACCTGTGCCCATGACTGCACCTGTGCCCATGACTGCACCTGTGCCCATGACTGCACCTGTGCCCATGACTGCACCTGTGCCCATGACTGCATTGCCCATGACTGCACCTGTGCCCATGACTGCACCTGTGCCCATGACTGCACCTGTGCCCATGACTGCACCTGTGCCCATGACTGCACCTGTGCCCATGACTGCACCTGTGCCCATGACTGCACCTGTGCCCATGACTGCACCTGTGCCCATGACTGCACCTGTGCCCATGACTGCACCTGTGCCCATGACTGCACCTGTGCCCATGACTGCACCTGTGCTCATGACTGCACCTGTGCTCATGACTGCACCTGTGCTCATGACTGCACCTGTGCTCATGACTGCACCTGTGCTCATGACTGCACCTGTGCTCATGACTGCACCTGTGCTCATGACTGCACCTGTGCCCATGACTGCACCTGTGCCCATGACTGCACCTGTGCCCATGACTGCACCTGTGCCCATGACTGCACCTGTGCCCATGACTGCACCTGTGCCCATGACTGCACCTGTGCCCATGACTGCACCTGTGCCCATGACTGCACCTGTGCTCATGACTGCACCTGTGCCCATGACTGCACCTGTGCCCATGACTGCACCTGTGCTCATGACTGCACCTGTGCCCATGACTGCACCTGTGCCCATGACTGCACCTGTGCTCATGACTGCACCTGTGCTCATGACTGCACCTGTGCCCATGACTGCACCTGTGCCCATGACTGCACCTGTGCTCATGACTGCACCTGTGCTCATGACTGCACCTGTGCTCATGACTGCACCTGTGCTCATGACTGCACCTGTGCTCATGACTGCACCTGTGCCCATGACTGCACCTGTGCCCATGACTGCACCTGTGCTCATGACTGCACCTGTGCCCATGACTGCACCTGTGCCCATGACTGCACCTGTGCTCATGACTGCACCTGTGCCCATGACTGCACATGTGCCCATGACTGCACCTGTGCCCATGACTGCACCTGTGCCCATGACTGCACCTGTGCCCATGACTGCACCTGTGCCCATGACTGCACCTGTGCTCATGACTGCACCTGTGCCCATGACTGCACCTGTGCCCATGACTGCACCTGTGCCCATGACTGCACCTGTGCCCATGACTGCACCTGTGCTCATGACTGCACCTGTGCCCATGACTGCACCTGTGCCCATGACTGCACCTGTGCTCATGACTGCACCTGTGCCCATGACTGCACCTGTGCCCATGACTGCACCTGTGCTCATGACTGCACCTGTGCCCATGACTGCACCTGTGCCCATGACTGCACCTGTGCCCATGACTGCACCTGTGCTCATGACTGCACCTGTGCCCATGACTGCACCTGTGCCCATGACTGCACCTGTGCCCATGACTGCACCTGTGCCCATGACTGCACCTGTGCCCATGACTGCACCTGTGCTCATGACTGCACCTGTGCCCATGACTGCACCTGTGCCCATGACTGCACCTGTGCCCATGACTGCACCTGTGCCCATGACTGCACCTGTGCTCATGACTGCACCTGTGCCCATGACTGCACCTGTGCCCATGACTGCACCTGTGCTCATGACTGCACCTGTGCCCATGACTGCACCTGTGCCCATGACTGCACCTGTGCTCATGACTGCACCTGTGCCCATGACTGCAACCTGTGCCCATGACTGCACCTGTGCCCATGACTGCACCTGTGCCCATGACTGCACCTGTGCCCATGACTGCACCTGTGCCCATGACTGCACCTGTGCCCATGACTGCACCTGTGCCCATGACTGCACCTGTGCCCATGACTGCACCTGTGCCCATGACTGCACCTGTGCCCATGACTGCACCTGTGCCCATGACTGCACCTGTGCCCATGACTGCACCTGTGCCCATGACTGCACCTGTGCCCATGACTGCACCTGTGCCCATGACTGCACCTGTGCCCATGACTGCACCTGTGCCCATGACTGCACCTGTGCCCATGACTGCACCTGTGCCCATGACTGCACCTGTGCCCATGACTGCACCTGTGCCCATGACTGCACCTGTGCCCATGACTGCACCTGTGCCCATGACTGCACCTGTGCCCATGACTGCACCTGTGCCCATGACTGCACCTGTGCCCATGACTGCACCTGTGCCCATGACTGCACCTGTGCCCATGACTGCACCTGTGCCCATGACTGCACCTGTGCCCATGACTGCACCTGTGCTCATGACTGCACCTGTGCTCATGACTGCACCTGTGCTCATGACTGCACCTGTGCTCATGACTGCACCTGTGCTCATGACTGCACCTGTGCTCATGACTGCACCTGTGCTCATGACTGCACCTGTGCCCATGACTGCACCTGTGCCATGACTGCACCTGTGCCCATGACTGCACCTGTGCCCATGACTGCACCTGTGCCCATGACTGCACCTGTGCCCATGACTGCACCTGTGCCCATGACTGCACCTGTGCCCATGACTGCACCTGTGCCCATGACTGCACCTGTGCCCATGACTGCACCTGTGCTCATGACTGCACCTGTGCCCATGACTGCACCTGTGCCCATGACTGCACCTGTGCTCATGACTGCACCTGTGCCCATGACTGCACCTGTGCCCATGACTGCACCTGTGCTCATGACTGCACCTGTGCTCATGACTGCACCTGTGCCCATGACTGCACCTGTGCTCATGACTGCACCTGTGCCCATGACTGCACCTGTGCCCATGACTGCACCTGTGCTCATGACTGCACCTGTGCCCATGACTGCACCTGTGCCCATGACTGCACCTGTGCCCATGACTGCACCTGTGCCCATGACTGCACCTGTGCTCATGACTGCACCTGTGCTCATGACTGCACCTGTGCCCATGACTGCACCTGTGCTCATGACTGCACCTGTGCCCATGACTGCACCTGTGCTCATGACTGCACCTGTGCCCATGACTTCACCTGTGCCCATGACTGCACCTGTGCTCATGACTGCACCTGTGCCCATGACTGCACCTGTGCCCATGACTGCACCTGTGCTCATGACTGCACCTGTGCCCATGACTGCACCTGTGCCCATGACTGCACCTGTGCCCATGACTGCACCTGTGCCCATGACTGCACCTGTGCCCATGACTGCACCTGTGCCCATGACTGCACCTGTGCTCATGACTGCACCTGTGCCCATGACTGCACCTGTGCCCATGACTGCACCTGTGCCCATGACTGCACCTGTGCCCATGACTGCACCTGTGCTCATGACTGCACCTGTGCCCATGACTGCACCTGTGCCCATGACTGCACCTGTGCTCATGACTGCACCTGTGCCCATGACTGCACCTGTGCCCATGACTGCACCTGTGCTCATGACTGCACCTGTGCCCATGACTGCACCTGTGCCCATGACTGCACCTGTGCCCATGACTGCACCTGTGCTCATGACTGCACCTGTGCCCATGACTGCACCTGTGCCCATGACTGCACCTGTGCCCATGACTGCACCTGTGCCCATGACTGCACCTGTGCCCATGACTGCACCTGTGCTCATGACTGCACCTGTGCCCATGACTGCACCTGTGCCCATGACTGCACCTGTGCTCATGACTGCACCTGTGCCCATGACTGCACCTGTGCCCATGACTGCACCTGTGCCCATGACTGCACCTGTGCCCATGACTGCACCTGTGCCCATGACTGCACCTGTGCCCATGACTGCACCTGTGCCCATGACTGCACCTGTGCCCATGACTGCACCTGTGCCCATGACTGCACCTGTGCCCATGACTGCACCTGTGCCCATGACTGCACCTGTGCCCATGACTGCACCTGTGCCCATGACTGCACCTGTGCCCATGACTGCACCTGTGCCCATGACTGCACCTGTGCCCATGACTGCACCTGTGCCCATGACTGCACCTGTGCCCATGACTGCACCTGTGCCCATGACTGCACCTGTGCCCATGACTGCACCTGTGCCCATGACTGCACCTGTGCCCATGACTGCACCTGTGCCCATGACTGCACCTGTGCCCATGACTGCACCTGTGCCCATGACTGCACCTGTGCCCATGACTGCACCTGTGCCCATGACTGCACCTGTGCCCATGACTGCACCTGTGCCCATGACTGCACCTGTGCCCATGACTGCACCTGTGCCCATGACTGCACCTGTGCCCATGACTGCACCTGTGCCCATGACTGCACCTGTGCCCATGACTGCACCTGTGCCCATGACTGCACCTGTGCCCATGACTGCACCTGTGCCCATGACTGCACCTGTGCCCATGACTGCACCTGTGCCCATGACTGCACCTGTGCCCATGACTGCACCTGTGCCCATGACTGCACCTGTGCCCATGACTGCACCTGTGCCCATGACTGCACCTGTGCCCATGACTGCACCTGTGCCCATGACTGCACCTGTGCCCATGACTGCACCTGTGCCCATGACTGCACCTGTGCCCATGACTGCACCTGTGCCCATGACTGCACCTGTGCCCATGACTGCACCTGTGCCCATGACTGCACCTGTGCCCATGACTGCACCTGTGCCCATGACTGCACCTGTGCCCATGACTGCACCTGTGCCCATGACTGCACCTGTGCCCATGACTGCACCTGTGCCCATGACTGCACCTGTGCCCATGACTGCACCTGTGCCATGACTGCACCTGTGCCCATGACTGCACCTGTGCCCATGACTGCACCTGTGCCCATGACTGCACCTGTGCCCATGACTGCACCTGTGCCCATGACTGCACCTGTGCCCATGACTGCACCTGTGCCCATGACTGCACCTGTGCCCATGACTGCACCTGTGCCCATGACTGCACCTGTGCCCATGACTGCACCTGTGCCCATGACTGCACCTGTGCCCATGACTGCACCTGTGCCCATGACTGCACCTGTGCCCATGACTGCACCTGTGCCCATGACTGCACCTGTGCCCATGACTGCACCTGTGCCCATGACTGCACCTGTGCCCATGACTGCACCTGTGCCCATGACTGCACCTGTGCCCATGACTGCACCTGTGCCCATGACTGCACCTGTGCCCATGACTGCACCTGTGCCCATGACTGCACCTGTGCCCATGACTGCACCTGTGCCCATGACTGCACCTGTGCCCATGACTGCACCTGTGCCCATGACTGCACCTGTGCCCATGACTGCACCTGTGCCCATGACTGCACCTGTGCCCATGACTGCACCTGTGCCCATGACTGCACCTGTGCCCATGACTGCACCTGTGCCCATGACTGCACCTGTGCCCATGACTGCACCTGTGCCCATGACTGCACCTGTGCCCATGACTGCACCTGTGCCCATGACTGCACCTGTGCCCATGACTGCAACCTGTGCCCATGACTGCACCTGTGCCCATGACTGCACCTGTGCCATGACTGCACCTGTGCCCATGACTGCACCTGTGCCCATGACTGCACCTGTGCCCATGACTGCACCTGTGCCCATGACTGCACCCTGTGCCCATGACTGCACCTGTGCCCATGACTGCAACCTGTGCCCATGACTGCACCTGTGCCCATGACTGCACCTGTGCCCATGACTGCACCTGGCCCATGACTGCACCTGTGCCCATGACTGCACCTGTGCCCATGACTGCACCTGTGCCCATGACTGCACCTGTGCCCATGACTGCACCTGTGCCCATGTGCTCATGACTGCACCTGTGCCCATGACTGCACCTGTGCCCATGACTGCACCTGTGCCCATGACTGCACCTGTGCCCATGACTGCACCTGTGCCCATGACTGCACATGTGCCCATGACTGCACCTGTGCCCATGACTGCACCTGTGCCCATGACTGCACCTGTGCTCATGACTGCACCTGTGCCCATGACTGCACCTGTGCCCATGACTGCACCTGTGCCCATGACTGCACCTGTGCCCATGACTGCACCTGTGCCCATGACTGCACCTGTGCCCATGACTGCACCTGTGCCCATGACTGCACCTGTGCCCATGACTGCACCTGTGCCCATGACTGCACCTGTGCCCATGACTGCACCTGTGCCCATGACTGCACCTGTGCCCATGACTGCACCTGTGCTCATGACTGCACCTGTGCCCATGACTGCACCTGTGCCCATGACTGCACCTGTGCCCATGACTGCACCTGTGCCCATGACTGCACCTGTGCCATGACTGCACCTGTGCTCATGACTGCACCTGTGCTCATGACTGCACCTGTGCTCATGACTGCACCTGTGCCCATGACTGCACCTGTGCCCATGACTGCACCTGTGCCCATGACTGCACCTGTGCCCATGACTGCACCTGTGCCCATGACTGCACCTGTGCCCATGACTGCACCTGTGCCCATGACTGCACCTGTGCCCATGACTGCACCTGTGCCCATGACTGCACCTGTGCCCATGACTGCACCTGTGCCCATGACTGCACCTGTGCCCATGACTGCACCTGTGCTCATGACTGCACCTGTGCCCATGACTGCACCTGTGCCCATGACTGCACCTGTGCCCATGACTGCACCTGTGCCCATGACTGCACCTGTGCCCATGACTGCACCTGTGCCCATGACTGCACCTGTGCTCATGACTGCACCTGTGCCCATGACTGCACCTGTGCCCATGACTGCACCTGTGCCCATGACTGCACCTGTGCTCATGACTGCACCTGTGCCCATGACTGCACCTGTGCCCATGACTGCACCTGTGCCCATGACTGCACCTGTGCTCATGACTGCACCTGTGCTCATGACTGCACCTGTGCCCATGACTGCACCTGTGCCCATGACTGCACCTGTGCCCATGACTGCACCTGTGCCCATGACTGCACCTGTGCCCATGACTGCACCTGTGCCCATGACTGCACCTGTGCTCATGACTGCACCTGTGCTCATGACTGCACCTGTGCTCATGACTGCACCTGTGCTCATGACTGCACCTGTGCTCATGACTGCACCTGTGCTCATGACTGCACCTGTGCTCATGACTGCACCTGTGCCCATGACTGCACCTGTGCCCATGACTGCACCTGTGCTCATGACTGCACCTGTGCCCATGACTGCACCTGTGCCCATGACTGCACCTGTGCCCATGACTGCACCTGTGCCCATGACTGCACCTGTGCCCATGACTGCACCTGTGCCCATGACTGCACCTGTGCCCATGACTGCACCTGTGCCCATGACTGCACCTGTGCCCATGACTGCACCTGTGCCCATGACTGCACCTGTGCCCATGACTGCACCTGTGCCCATGACTGCACCTGTGCCCATGACTGCACCTGTGCCCATGACTGCACCTGTGCCCATGACTGCACCTGTGCCCATGACTGCACCTGTGCCCATGACTGCACCTGTGCTCATGACTGCACCTGTGCTCATGACTGCACCTGTGCTCATGACTGCACCTGTGCCATGACTGCACCTGTGCCCATGACTGCACCTGTGCCCATGACTGCACCTGTGCCCATGACTGCACCTGTGCCCATGACTGCACCTGTGCCCATGACTGCACCTGTGCCCATGACTGCACCTGTGCCCATGACTGCACCTGTGCCCATGACTGCACCTGTGCCCATGACTGCACCTGTGCCCATGACTGCACCTGTGCCCATGACTGCACCTGTGCCCATGACTGCACCTGTGCCCATGACTGCACCTGTGCCCATGACTGCACCTGTGCCCATGACTGCACCTGTGCCCATGACTGCACCTGTGCCCATGACTGCACCTGTGCCCATGACTGCACCTGTGCCCATGACTGCACCTGTGCCCATGACTGCACCTGTGCCCATGACTGCACCTGTGCCCATGACTGCACCTGTGCCCATGACTGCACCTGTGCCCATGACTGCACCTGTGCCCATGACTGCACCTGTGCCCATGACTGCACCTGTGCCCATGACTGCACCTGTGCTCATGACTGCACCTGTGCCCATGACTGCACCTGTGCCCATGACTGCACCTGTGCCCATGACTGCACCTGTGCTCATGACTGCACCTGTGCCCATGACTGCACCTGTGCCCATGACTGCACCTGTGCCCATGACTGCACCTGTGCTCATGACTGCACCTGTGCTCATGACTGCACCTGTGCCCATGACTGCACCTGTGCCCATGACTGCACCTGTGCCCATGACTGCACCTGTGCCCATGACTGCACCTGTGCCCATGACTGCACCTGTGCCCATGACTGCACCTGTGCCCATGACTGCACCTGTGCTCATGACTGCACCTGTGCTCATGACTGCACCTGTGGTCATGACTGCACCTGTGCCCATGACTGCACCTGTGCCCATGACTGCACCTGTGCCCATGACTGCACCTGTGCCCATGACTGCACCTGTGCCCATGACTGCACCTGTGCCCATGACTGCACCTGTGCCCATGACTGCACCTGTGCCCATGACTGCACCTGTGCTCATGACTGCACCTGTGCTCATGACTGCACCTGTGCTCATGACTGCACCTGTGCCCATGACTGCACCTGTGCCCATGACTGCACCTGTGCCCATGACTGCACCTGTGCCCATGACTGCACCTGTGCCCATGACTGCACCTGTGCCCATGACTGCACCTGTGCCCATGACTGCACCTGTGCCCATGACTGCACCTGTGCCCATGACTGCACCTGTGCTCATGACTGCACCTGTGCTCATGACTGCACCTGTGCTCATGACTGCACCTGTGCTCATGACTGCACCTGTGCCCATGACTGCACCTGTGCCCATGACTGCACCTGTGCCCATGACTGCACCTGTGCCCATGACTGCACCTGTGCCCATGACTGCACCTGTGCCCATGACTGCACCTGTGCTCATGACTGCACCTGTGCTCATGACTGCACCTGTGCTCATGACTGCACCTGTGCCCATGACTGCACCTGTGCCCATGACTGCACCTGTGCCCATGACTGCACCTGTGCCCATGACTGCACCTGTGCCCATGACTGCACCTGTGCCCATGACTGCACCTGTGCCCATGACTGCACCTGTGCCCATGACTGCACCTGTGCCCATGACTGCACCTGTGCCCATGACTGCACCTGTGCCCATGACTGCACCTGTGCCCATGACTGCACCTGTGCCCATGACTGCACCTGTGCTCATGACTGCACCTGTGCCCATGACTGCACCTGTGCCCATGACTGCACCTGTGCCCATGACTGCACCTGTGCCCATGACTGCACCTGTGCCCATGACTGCACCTGTGCCCATGACTGCACCTGTGCTCATGACTGCACCTGTGCCCATGACTGCACCTGTGCCCATGACTGCACCTGTGCCCATGACTGCACCTGTGCTCATGACTGCACCTGTGCCCATGACTGCACCTGTGCCCATGACTGCACCTGTGCCCATGACTGCACCTGTGCTCATGACTGCACCTGTGCTCATGACTGCACCTGTGCCCATGACTGCACCTGTGCCCATGACTGCACCTGTGCCCATGACTGCACCTGTGCCCATGACTGCACCTGTGCCCATGACTGCACCTGTGCCCATGACTGCACCTGTGCTCATGACTGCACCTGTGCTCATGACTGCACCTGTGCTCATGACTGCACCTGTGCTCATGACTGCACTTGTGCTCATGACTGCACCTGTGCCCATGACTGCACCTGTGCCCATGACTGCACCTGTGCCCATGACTGCACCTGTGCCCATGACTGCACCTGTGCCCATGACTGCACCTGTGCCCATGACTGCACCTGTGCTCATGACTGCACCTGTGCTCATGACTGCACCTGTGCTCATGACTGCACCTGTGCTCATGACTGCACCTGTGCTCATGACTGCACCTGTGCCCATGACTGCACCTGTGCCCATGACTGCACCTGTGCCCATGACTGCACCTGTGCCCATGACTGCACCTGTGCCCATGACTGCACCTGTGCCCATGACTGCACCTGTGCTCATGACTGCACCTGTGCTCATGACTGCACCTGTGCTCATGACTGCACCTGTGCTCATGACTGCACCTGTGCTCATGACTGCACCTGTGCTCATGACTGCACCTGTGCCCATGACTGCACCTGTGCTCATGACTGCACCTGTGCTCATGACTGCACCTGTGCCCATGACTGCACCTGTGCTCATGACTGCACCTGTGCTCATGACTGCACCTGTGCTCATGACTGCACCTGTGCTCATGACTGCACCTGTGCCCATGACTGCACCTGTGCTCATGACTGCACCTGTGCTCATGACTGCACCTGTGCTCATGACTGCACCTGTGCTCATGACTGCACCTGTGCTCATGACTGCACCTGTGCCCATGACTGCACCTGTGCTCATGACTGCACCTGTGCTCATGACTGCACCTGTGCCCATGACTGCACCTGTGCTCATGACTGCACCTGTGCTCATGACTGCACCTGTGCTCATGACTGCACCTGTGCTCATGACTGCACCTGTGCTCATGACTGCACCTGTGCTCATGACTGCACCTGTGCTCATGACTGCACCTGTGCTCATGACTGCACCTGTGCTCATGACTGCACCTGTGCTCATGACTGCACCTGTGCTCATGACTGCACCTGTGCTCATGACTGCACCTGTGCTCATGACTGCACCTGTGCTCATGACTGCACCTGTGCTCATGACTGCACCTGTGCTCATGACTGCACCTGTGCTCATGACTGCACCTGTGCTCATGACTGCACCTGTGCTCATGACTGCACCTGTGCTCATGACTGCACCTGTGCCCATGACTGCACCTGTGCTCATGACTGCACCTGTGCTCATGACTGCACCTGTGCCCATGACTGCACCTGTGCTCATGACTGCACCTGTGCTCATGACTGCACCTGTGCTCATGACTGCACCTGTGCTCATGACTGCACCTGTGCTCATGACTGCACCTGTGCTCATGACTGCACCTGTGCTCATGACTGCACCTGTGCTCATGACTGCACCTGTGCTCATGACTGCACCTGTGCTCATGACTGCACCTGTGCTCACAGAGAGGACGAAGCGCATGCGGAGTCTCGTGCACTTAGAAGTCTTGTGCCGCCCACTGTCGTGAAGGCGCCCATCCTCGTTGTGCCGCCAAACATCGTTGAGCCGCCCACCCTCACTGTTCTGCCCAACGTTGTTGAGATGCCTACCCTCGGTGTGCTGCCCACCATCATTGAGCCACCCATCATCGCTGTGCCTTCAGCCACACAGTTCTGCCATGTGGAAGATCTCAGAACACCCACAACACCCATGCCCACGCCCAGAGCCAGCAGCAGCAATTTTGACATGCCAACCAGCACCTGCTGTACGCACCACAACAAGCACTGCAGCACCGGTTTCAAGGCTTGCAGCACCAATTTCAAGCCCTGCATCACCGGTTTCAAGTCTTGCTGCACCTGTTCCAACCCCTGCAGCCCTGGTTTCAAGCGCTGCAGCATTGGTTACAAGCCCTGCAGCAGCGGTTTCAAGCCCTGCAGCCCCCGTTTCAAGGCGTGGAGCAGAAGCGACACAGAGATTGAAGCAAAACGCCGCAAGAAGCACTTCCTCCCTCTGCTTGCTCACCCACCAGGCAGTGAGATCAAACGCCAACTCCGAAAGGGCGGGGATCAACTTCCCAGTGCATCAGAAACTCTATCTGCTGCTGTCGAAGTGCCACTCCTTTCAAAGAACCCACCAGTTGCAGCAGCCATGGCTGATTGGGGTGTGTACATGCAGGATGCAGTGGCTATAACCGATGGGGATGTGAACATGCAAAGTGCGGCAGCCATTGGCATCATATGCAGTGCAGGTTCGATGCGAGAAGCTTTAGCAAGGCAGCAACTCCAAGGCTCTCTACCACCAGCAGACTCCAAGCTCCGTGTGCCAGTTGAATCCACGCAAGTGCTCTCACGGGCCGTTCAGCCTGAAGCCTTGGTGCAGCGGACAACCCCGAGCCAGCGGATTTTAGCCCGTGTACCCATACCCCCAGCTGAAGTGTTTCGAACACCAGCCAAGCAGGGGGTGGTTGTGCCTTTGATCCCGGCAGAAGTATTTGCGTTTCTGGGAGGGACCAGCACTATTCGTGTTTCAGACTTTGCACCGGCAAGCATGCAGCAAGAACTACAGTTGTGGCTCGATGGTTCCACTTAGAAGGGCAGTTTAATCATGGTGGATGCGAGAATAGTAGAATCAGCGTGGGTTTGCTGCTTGTTTGGCAGTGTGTGTATTTTTCAGGTAAGCCAAATCTGCGTGTTCGGTGGTGTGTGTACGGCTTTCAATATATGTATATGTAATTTCTCATGTGTGTAGTGTCGTAACAAATATATCAACACATGTGTATATGATATTTGGATTTTCATCCCCCAAACATCCCCCAAAGGTATGGCTTTGGGGTCCAGTGCAGATGGGTTATATGTTTCTGTGGTCATTTGAATCAATTTTGGTCCAGTATGAGCTCAGACCCTATTTTTTCAACCACCAACATTCTGGATTACAGTATCACCGAGATATCATTATGTTGATAAAGCAGGTTGAAAAGGCCATGTAAATGAGTTTCTCGCTCAAGTTCACCACACCATGCCCATCCCTCGTTCCATCCCTATGAACATCCCTTTCTCAATCTCATTTCCATTCCTACTCCCATCCCCATACCCATACCTTCCCCCATCCCTTTTCCCATCATGGTGCCCATCGCGTCCATCCCCATGCCCATCCGTAGTCCCATGCTCATGCAATCTACAGTCGCATCCCCATGCCCATTCCTAGTCCCATACCCAAGGCCATTCCGATTTCCATCCCCATAACCACATCTAGTCCCATGCCCCATGCCCATCCGTAATCCCATCCCAATGCCATGCCTAGTCCCATACCCATGTCCATCCCAATTCCATCCACATGCCTAATCCCATCCACATGCCCATCCCTAATCCCATCCCTTCATTCCTATTCCCATGCCCACACCCATTTATTCTCCCATCCCCATGCCCATCCTTCTACCCTCCAATCCCCACGACCACCCCTTTTCCAATCCCATGCCCATCCCTAGTAACATCCCCATGCCCATCTATACCCATCCCAATTCCATATCCCACCGCTTTTACCATCCACATGCCCATACATAAACCCAATGCCCATCCCAAGCCATGCCCACCCCTCGTCCCATCCGTATGCCCATCCCTACTTCCATCCCCCGTCCCAAGTTTCATGCTCATGTCCATCCATTCTCCCATCCCCATTCCCATCCTTGCTACTGTATGATCCCCAACCGACCTTTTTCCAATCCCATGGCCATCCCTAGCCCAACACCCATGACCATCCCTTTCCAATCCCATCCCCATCGCTAGTCCAATCCCCATGACCATCCTTTTCCCGATCCCATCCCCATCCTGAGTCCAACTCACATTTCAATCCCTTCTCCATTCCCATACCCATCCCTAGTCACACCCCCCCGCCCATGCCTGCCCCCAATCCCATCCCTGCTCCATTTCCATGCCCACCCTTAGTCCCATCCCTTTGCTGGCATGTAGTCTCATCTCCATTCCCATCCCTAGTCTCATCCCCATTCCCATCCCTAGTCCCATCCGCATTCCCATCTGTGGTATCATCCCTGGTGTCATCCCAATGCCTACATATGCACCCATCCCCATTCCCCATTCCCAACCAATGTCCCATCCGCATGTCCATACATACACCCACCCGTAAGTCCCTTCACCATGGCCATGCTTAGTCCCATTCACATGCCCATCCCTATTCTCATCCCCATGCCCATCCTTTGTCCCATCTCCATGCCCGTCCCTTGTCCCATCCACAAGCCAATCCGTAGACCCATCCACAAGCCAATCCCTAGTCCCATCCAAATGCCCATCTATAAGCCCATCCCCTTGCCCATCCCCATAGCCATCTGCACTCCCATATTCAGGCCAATCCATACTCCCATCCCCATCCCCATCCCTAGTCCTATCCACATTCCAATCCCTTCTCCTATCCCTATGAATATCTCTAGTCCCATCCCCAAGCCCATCCCTACTTTCATATTCCATCTCAAGTCCCATGACCGTGCCCATCCATTCTCTCATCCCCATCCTCGTCCTTGCTAGTGTCTAACCACCATGACCACCTCTTTTCCAATTCCATGCCCATCCGTAGCACAATTCCCATGACCATCCCTTTTCCAGTGCCATCCTCATCGCTAGTCTATTCCTCAGGACCATTTCTTTTACCATCTTCATGCACATCCCGAATCACATCCTCACACTCATGCATGTCCTGGTTCCCATCATCATGACTATACTTAGTCCCAACCATATGCCAAACCGTTATCCTATCCCATCGTCACATGCCTAGTCCTGTCACCATGCCCGTACCTGGTCCCACGCCCATAGCCTTCCATACTCCCATCCCCATGCCCAGCCCTCTTCCCATCCCCATGCCCAAACATACTCCCATCCCCTTGCATATAGTTTTGCCCATCCCCATGCGCATCCCTAGCACCACATTATCATGGCCATCGCTAGACACATCCAGACACTCATGCCTGCCCCAATTCCAGTTCAAATGACCATAATTTTACCCATCCCCATCCCCATATGTAATCCCATGTCCATGCCCATCCCTAGTCCCATCCACATTCCATCCCTAGTGGCATCCCCATTCACATATCTAGTCCCATCCGCATTCCCATCAATAGTCCCATCCCCATTACCATCCATAGTCCCATCCTCATGCTTTACCTGACCCCATCCCCATGCCCTTCCCCAGTCTTATCCCCAGTCCCATCCCCCGTTACTCGAAACATGTCGGTGTATGGAAGATCGGGCGGATACACCCTAGTATGCAAACATTGACAACAAACATTTGATAGAGGCAAAATGTTTCGCGCCTAAAACATTATCGCAATCGCGCAAAAACTCCCATTATAGAGGGTAATAAACGAATTCCTGGTGGTAAGTAAAAGAAACACGTGCTTTTGGAGACAATCGCAATCCGCAAATCCACTAGTGATTTTCCACCTGCTTTACTTTCTGATGACGTGATTTAGTTCGACTCCAATCGCGTCAACTGAAGGTGATTCACCATTTCCAGGAAGTGGGGAGACCCGATAGAGGTGATCGCGGGCAATCTGTTGATCACGATCGATCTGACGCAATCGAACGTGATCAATTGTGACCGATATATTGTCATTGATCGAGCGTCCTTGATGACACCCACGATAAGTACACTACCCCAACCAAAAGCTCTTTCCTACAGTGTGCATTGGCACATCCAGTGCGAGATTGGCAAAATATACAGGCTAAATGTAATCGTGTGGTGCACGCTTTCAAGATTTCTCGCCAACCGAGCTAGCAGAAAAGACGAAGCTGTTATGTGGAGAAAACATTTCCTGCGCGACCCCAAATCCACGTCAAGATTTCGGAAGGAAACAAGGTAGAAACCAACCACATTTCTCATCCACCTACCACCCACAATCTGATGGCCAAACTGAACAAACCACTTAGACAATTGAGTAGCTCATCCGAGTCAAGTGTCCCAATCCTCCTCGATGGGAAGATACCTTCCCAATGCTGGAATTTGACTACAACAATGCGCCGTCAAGCACGAATACTCACTCCCCAGTTTACGTAAATAATAGGATGGATCCTACAATACTGACACAACCAGCGCGAACACTCCATTCCTCCGAACCCAACAATCAATTTTTGAGTAAGAAAACAACCGCAAAAAAGTCATCGAAGCAATTCGCAAGGCCAACGCCATTATCCGCAAATGTGCCGATTTATATCGACACAAAGTTGTCATGATCATACAAAGACAGTACGCCTGCCTGTCTCGTCAAAGTTACGACCACTTTTGCATACATTTTCCGCATAGTCAAAATGTCCATTACGATAGCTAAAATATTATTGATGCCCGACAACTGGCGTGCGCATGATGCCTTCCATTTTAGCCTTCTACGACCTTTCGCAACAAAGACGTTGGGCTTTGCCCAATAACACTCTGCCCAAAATTTATGCCCAGTGCTAGAACCAACATTTGATCCGTCGAAAATCCGTTTGCATCTTGTCCCGCTTAAAGCAAGGGTGCACTTTCAGGGGGGTGGAGGCAAAGGTTTATCACTTGCCTTGTGTGGTTACCTGGTTTGTAGCTGGGAGTGAGACGCGAACAACTTTCCAGTGTTGGCGGAGTTGCACGGGTTGTCTCCCTCCCATCAGTAGTGACGGGCGTAATGGGAGTTGGGAACTTGGGTATGGGAGCCAGGCAGTTTGTGAACCAAAACGAACGTGGTTCTCGTTCCACGACACTTATACTCGAAGCAACAAAGTAGCTAGCAACCACAGCCCATAGTGCACAGCCACCTACATAGCATGGTATTTTTTAATGAAAAAAAAGGAATTTTCCATTTTGACTTTTTAATATATCAGTGATGCTATGTTTAGGGTTGTTAGATCGTCCCCAATGTCGACGTATCACCGTACACGGATCGCCGTCGCTCGCTCACTAGCATGCCGCATCCCGCTTGTCGCGTATTGTCGTTTTCTCGTTAGCGATCGCTGGTAGACCGATGACGCAACCAATCGCAGCAAATCGTTTGATCTCGATAACCGGTGACAGGCATCTATGCGGTCCGTGCGGGCAGCAGCGGCGGCGGTGGAGGGGATGGATGGGGAGGCGCAGCTGTCGGCGGAGGAGGCGCAGGTCCTGAGGGACATTCAGGACATTCTCGAGGTGATTCAAGCTTGCCTAGGGCTCTCGCAACATTCGTTAATATCGCGACACTCCGGACTGCCGTGACATCATACGCTTCGCTCACCTCCCTTCTGTCCGCGTTTCACCTTCCCCCACCCTCCCCATTCCACCCCCGCTTACCCTGCCGCGCACCATTCTCCGCGCTCCTGCCGCGTGCAGATCCGCCTGGTGCTGCGGATCGAGGACCAGCGCGAGGCGGAGCAGCGGCGGCAGATGGGCATCGAGAATGGAAGCGGGTGCTCCTGCGACGATATCGTCAATGTCAGAAGTACGAACGAGAATGGATGAACTAGCAGCAAGATGGGTACAAGTAGGAAACCCTAATTGGGTTGTACCCCATATGGGCTACCCCACTACAGCCTACACAATAAGCAGCATATAGGTTTGACACACCCCCATAGGCAAAGTGGGGGAGAAAAAGAGGTCACGAGACCGGTCAAGAAAAGCAAAGCAAGCTCAGGGTGGATCACGAAGTCACCACGCATTCTGAGCACAAGCAAGTGGCCACAAGGCCAATTTACATGCAGAGTTATATATAAAGGAGAACAAGCAGTACAGTGATCACAACCTAGCAAGTGTAAGCATGCAGGTATAAGTATATAGATCACAGTACAAGCAAAGTCAAGAAGTGAGAAAGTGAGGCAAAGTAGGCACAAGGCCTAGAATAGTACAGAAAGGCTGATGATCACAAGGCTGAAGTGCCTTGGTGAAGATATCAGCAGTGTTGGCCTGAGAGGCCACGTAAACAAGACGAAGCTGACCACGCTGCTGCAACTCTCGAGCAAGGAAGTAGCGCAGAGCGATGTGTTTCGTTCTGTGCTCCAGTCTGTGCTCCTGGCACAAGGCTATCATGGCCTTGTTGTCGACGTACAGAACTGGAGGAGAACAAGGCGGCTCTCCCAAGTCGGTCAGCAGGTAGGTGAGCCAGCGTAGCTCCCGTGCAGCCATGGCCCCTACGTAGATCTCAGCCTCACAACTGGAGCTGAGAACAGAAGACGAGCGAGTAGATCGCCACGAAACAGAGCCGGAGCCAAGGCTGAAGGTGTAACCCTGTGACGACCGCTGCGTAGCCAAGTCGTCAACCCAAGAAGCGTCTGCGTGACCAGTCAGGACAACTCGAGCCCGTCCTCCAAGCACGAGCCCCATGCCCGACGTACTGCACAAGTAGCGCATCACCCTCTTAGCGACCTTCCAGTGCTCTGGCCGGTGTCTCCCGGGCGCAACGTAGCGTGCCAGGATGCTAAGAGGGTAAGCAAGGTCAGGTCGAGTGCAGGTCATCAGGTACACGAGGCAGCCCACAAGCTCTGGATATGGGCCACTCGGCTCTACGGACTCATCCGAAGGCAGAGCTGAGAGCGAGTGACCGGTAGGCAGAGGAGTGGACTGTGGCGAGGAGAACTGGAAGTCGAAGCGCTGAAGGACCTGCTGCACCATGTGTGACTGAGTCAAGGTAATGGTGCGCTGTGCTCTGTCCCAAGTGATCTGCAAGCCAAGATAGCTGCGCAGCTCAACCAGGTCTGTGCACGTGTGTCTCTTCTGCAGCTCCGACTTCATGTGGGCCAGTCCAGCAGTGTCAGCAGTGGCAAAGACCAAGTCGTCGACGTACACGAGGATGTAGAACGGCGGCAGCGAAGTGTCGGTGTGTAGAAACAGCAACGGGTCAGCAGTAGAAGGAGCAAACCCAAGAGCCGCAAGCGTAGTCCTCAGTGTGACGTGCCACTCGTGAGGCGCCTGGCGGAGACCGTAGACTGGCCGCCGGAGGCTCCACTGGGTACCAGGAGGAAACGACCCAGTGAAGCCAGGTGGGCGGCGCAGCCAGATCTCCTCGTGCAGGCTGCCCTGTAGGAGTGCTGAAGTCAAGAGAGTGAAGCTCGTAGTCACGCTGAGTGGCGGCGTGCAGCAGAACCCGAAGAGTGGTCATCTTCAGGGTAGGAGAGAAGGTCTCGAAGAAGTCAACTCCCTGTCGCTGACTGAAGCCTCGTGCAACGTAAAGCGCCTTGAAGACAGGCGGAGAACCCGACGGCCGCTTCACCCTGCAAATCCACATGCCACTGACGATGTTCGCCCCAGGTGGGAAAACCTCCTCGACGTAAGTGCCTGTGGACTTCCAGGATGCCATCTCTGCGTCCATGGCAGACTGCCACTGAGAGGAGTAGGGACTCTCAATCGCCTCTGCGTAAGAGCGCGGGGTCGGGATGTCTGGTGCATCCGGGTCTCCCTCAGGGGCAATCAGCATGGATACGAGATGAGGTACAGCAGCTGCAAAACACTCAAAGTCCTCCTGCTTATCCTCAAGGACGTCCGTGCC